AGCAGCTTCTTAAAGGTCTGAGTCTTCAGCTTTCTCTTTCAGACTTTTCTCAACATTTTTTTCTTCCATGTGGTATTCTGGAAATGGTTTGAATCATGTCTCATTTTTGACATCCTACACTAACTTAAATCAGTATCTGGGTCTTTCTTACAGGTGCTCATTCACACTTTCCCCACAGTTCCTTTGAGCCTTAGTTAAAAGCCCTATTCTAGTTGTTGCTAGGCCAGAGTAATTAAAACCCCATTTTGTAGCAATATTTAATCAACTGATTAGGTAAGAGTGTCAGTAAGAACATGAAAACCAGATAATAAGCTTTCAGAGATCATTTACATATTAACCGTGCTCAAGGGTCACACATTGCAGCCTATAAAAGCTCAAAAGTACCAAAACAGATTCAGAGGGTCAAGTACCACGTGCCACAAAATTCTTAGTGGTATAACTTCACTTTGGACCCCTCAAATATTGACTGTCAGGAGAGTGCTCCTGTACTCTATAGGGCAGTGATGGCGAACCTTTTGAGCTCGGCGTGTCAGCATTTTGAAAAACCCTAACTTAACTCTGGTGCTGTGTCACATATAGAAATTTTTTGATATTTGAAACCATAGTAAAACAAAGACTTATATTTTTGATATTTATTTTATATATTTAAATGCCATTTAACAAAGAAAAATCAACCAAAAAAATGAGTTCGCGTGTCACCTCTGACACGCGTGTCATAGGTTCGCCATCACTGCTATAGGGTCATTCATAGAGCTGTAGTAAACCTTATTATTGCTTTCCTTTGATGTTTTATGGTCTAAGACAGCAGTTCTCAACCTGTGGGTCGCCACCCCTTTGGCGGTCGAACGACCTTTTCACAGGGGTCGCCTAAGACCATCCTGCATATCAGATATTTACATTATGATTCATAACAGTAGCAACATTACAGTTATGAAGTAGTAACGAAAATAATTTTATGATTGGGTCACAACATGAGGAACTGTATTTAAAGGGCCAGAAGGTTGAGAACCACTGGTCTAAAACCAGTAGTGACTGTTGTTACACAGTAACTTATACTTTAAAATGTATTACATGAAGTGTTACTGATTCATGAACATTTAAATTAAAATATGGGGCATCCTATTCGGTCAAATGGCCTTTATATAAATAATTTACTTATTTTTTTAAAAGTCATTCCTAGTATGTGTAGGATAATGCATAATGATTGAATACTTTAGATAAGTGGTTCTTAAACTTTGGGAGCAAATGTCCCTTTGTATCTGATGAAAGCTATTGGACCTTTCACCAAAAAATAGGCATATTTTTATGCATAGACTTTTTTTTTCTATACCAGGCCAACATCTGATGTTATAGAAACCTTTTCAGTGTCATTGTCCCTGTAGTGTAAATATTTGGGGTTCATACCGAGACTTCACAGAAGCTGTGAAAAACAAGAATTCAAAGGATTTATTAGGTCATTAGACAGTTACTAGGAATGAATTTATAAATAGACAGTGACAAAAAGTCAAGACATACTGGTTGAAATATAAGGCATCTGCATTTCCTACATTAAGACCATAATAAATAGAACAGTGAACCTGACATGGTTTGAAACGAAATAATCTGGTCAACAAAATGGAGGGCTTTGGTGATTGATGTGATTTTTTTAGTAGTTTTCTAAGACTGGTATTTGCAGATCTTACATATTGAAGTGAAGCCATTGATGTTAAATACAGTCATGTGCCGCTTAAGGATGGGGATATGTTCTGAGAAATGCATTCTTAGGTGATTATGTCATTGTGCAAATATTGTGGAGTGTACTTATACAAACCTGGATGGTATAGCTCACTACACACCTAGACTGTATGGTATACCATCATTGTATATGCTGCCTGTTATTGACCTTTAAAATGGCATTATACCGTGAGTGTATATACATTCCTGATTTAATATGCATTTGTAATAACTTATAAAGATCATTGGTCATTGAAGCATTTGACAAAATTCGGACCCAAATGGAAGAGTTCAGTTCTCTAGTTTATCTGTCAGTTCATTTGTCTCTCCAGGGACCATGTGAAAAACAGGTGCTTGAGGTTGGTTCAGGGGTTCAGTGGTGATGCAGAGAAGGGAGCAGCAAATGAGTGACAAGGAAAGGATTTCATGGAGGAAACAATGCTTGACTGAAGTGGTATGGATTTTGGGTGCATCCTGAAATGTAATGAAAATGACCTTTAATATAACCATTTCCAGATTAAGCAAATTCACTGTGACATGTGGCTTAAATTAAAGCCCTTTTTTCTTGCATGTATCTGTTCATTCATTCATTTGTTTATTCATTTGATAAATATTTCTTGATTGAGTGGTCACTATGTGTCTTGAACAAAATTTATGGTTTTTACTCTCTATTTTCCCGCTTAAGGAATATTGCTTCTAAAACTTCAGTATGAGCTGATGTTTGAGTATATTTTTTATTGTCCTCAGAGTATTCGGTCCAAGAATCCAAATATGTAGTTATGTAAGAATTCTGTTGACCAGAGACAATTTCACTGAATAATAGAACATTAACTTTAAAATTTTAATATGATGCATATTATACACATTCCAAAGTGGTAACAAATGTCAAAGTTAAAGAAACGTGTCACTTTTAAGAATAAACAGAAAGAACTAGGAGAGTCAGCAGAGCATAAGCCAGAGCTACATTAAAACTTTGTTTCAATACTCTTAGCTTTTGCTCTAGGCATTGTTCATCTGAAAACCTGCTCAGGGGACTTTATTACTGTAAATATGTGAACAACATTTTACAATATGAAATCAGCTTTTGAAAAGTATGTTTTGAGGTATAGTTTTTTGTTTTTTATTTTTTTTAAAGGCAGAGGGTAGAGAAATGCTAAGTTAAACAGGTGTCTGCACTGTAGGACTTATCAGGGCCTTTAATATGCCAGTGCGCACCACACATTTCCCAGAAGGAGAAACAACATGAGATATTCCAGCTTCCATGAATATTGATACTTTCCCTTGAGCATCTTGAGGACTAGTGTTCCATAAAACATTTTGGAATCTACTGCTTTAAACCCCAGTGCATCTTAGTGTGCAGAATCTGAGGAGAGCAGTGTGGAGCGCCCTTGGTGTATTTTAAGTTTCAATGAAAGAATAGAGCAAATAATGAATTAAAGGGTAATTGCATTCCCCAACTTGGGTGAGATCCATTTATCTAAAGTGAAGACGAATGCTGAACAATAATTAAATAGATTAGGGCTGTCTAGACAGTCTGTCCAATTCAGTACAAATTGAAATTAATTGTTAGTTTTCATCTATTTATCATTTGAGACAACACTGTCTTTGAGCTTATCAAAGGGATTAGAAGATTTGGTGTTTTCAAAAGCAGAGATTATTTCTGAAAGGAAGCAGAATATATAGATGGATATACAGATAGATGTATGTATGTATGTATGAAGGAATGGATGGGTGAATGTATGGATGGGTGAATAGATAGATCAGTGGTTCTCAACCTGTGGGTCGTGACCCCTTGGGGGTTGAGCAACCCTTTCACAGGGGTCGCCTAAGACCATTGGAAAACACATATATAATTACATATTGTTTTGTGATTAATCACTATGCTTTAATTATGTTCAATTTGTAACAATGAAATTGGGGGTCACCACAACATGAGGAACTGTATTAAAGGGTCGCGGCATTAGGAAGGTTGAGAACCACTGAGATAGATAGATAGATAGATAGATAGATAGATAGATAGATGATAGATAGAAAAGGTTGAATGTACCAAATAAATGTATGTGTACATGATGCTCTCTTATTTTTTTGCTAAAAAGTTCAATACTGGTCCAAAGATCAGAAAATGTACTATCAGTATTTAGACTCTGCTGACTTCTAATATTTATAATGTGCCATGTGGCAATGTGTGCTAAGAAGAAAAACAGGATAACAGGGATGGTGTGACTGATGATTATATCACTTATCTATATTAATAGTAGGGTCACCGGACATTTTTTTGTGAGGACTATGCTACTTTTCAAGGTTTGTTCTGGTGAGGAGGTGGAGGTACTAGATCATCTGTTGTGGACGGAAAACCAGAAATTTAACTGGAAAGGGTAGCATGACTGAAATGGACCAATTTCTTTTTTTTTCTGAAAGAGAGCATTGTGATTATGCTTAAAGATGCAAGGTAAAGGAAAAACCTTAGTTAGGTAAAGAAGGCAGGAGTAAGCGCCAAACTAGATTTCACAGTGACAAGATAATTGAGATTTATATCCCAGGTGCAAAGAACCTTTTCCTTGAAGGTTTCATTGCAGATGTAAGCCGGCAGGCAGACATCCCCCGAGGGGTCCCAGACTGCAAGAGGGTGCAGGCCGGGTTGAAGGACCCCCGCCCCCCAGTGCATGAATGTCATGCTCCAGGCCTCTAGTTGGATTATAACTCAAAGTATAAAATAGCCATTTATGAGTCCATACTAATATAAATAAACAAATAAATAAATAAATATCTCCTGAGCAGAAGAATTCTAAATAATTCATGTCCATATTTCACCCTCAAGGAAGTGGGACATAACTCCCCACTTCTTTTTTTATTTTATTTTTCAATTACAGTCTTTATTCAGTATTATTTTGTATTAGTTTAGGTGTACAGCATAGTGGTTAGAAAATCAAAGTGATTCCTCCTCACCCCGATATTTCCAGTACCCACCTTGCACTAAGTCCTCTTAAATGTGATTTGATCATCAAAAAACAAAAAATATGTACTTTTAAAATTATTATACTTTTTCAACCAACCTTATGATAGATAATAAAAGTATGATAGATAGTTTAATATATATAACAGATTATAAAATTGGTGGTCCAATTAATCACAGTGTGGTCAGAATTTATTGAAAGACAGCAAAATCAATGGGTTGTGTATTGTGCCCTGCATTAATTTTATGTGTAGACCTGGTTAAATTTTGTATGTTTCATGTTTATATGTTAATATGTTCTTTGATTTTGTTTTTCTTTTTTTTCCCCTTTAAGGATTGTCTGCTGCTAAACTGTTAGCTGAACATGAAGTTGATGTTTTGGTTTTAGAAGCCCGGGACAGAGTTGGAGGTAGAACGTACACTATAAGAGTAAGTGATTTAAATACTTATATATAGTATCTCACACAAACTAGAAGTGGGGTCTTTGGAATACACAGAGCTAGAAGAGATCTCAAGAGTCCATGCAGCGAAGCCATTTGTCCTCCATAGCCCTAAAGTACTCCATCAAATAAGTGTCCCTTCTTTTCAACAAGCACTCACCAAAAGAGTAACAGCCTCTGACCCTCAGGAGCTTGCATTCTAATGAAGAACACAAAGGAGGACAAATAACTTTAGTACAGCGGCATAATTTCCATGCTAAAGATCTAAATAGAGTCTGTAGTGTCTTGGGGGAGGTTATGGTTTGACTGGACTCAAAGTAACTATACAGCACGACACACATGCGCTCGCACGCGCGCGTGGTCACACACACACACACACACACACATGCGCACTTAGTATAGGTTCCTTATTTATTTATCCAAGGGTTCACAACTTAAAAGAAGTGTAGCTACAATAAGGAGAAACAAATGCAACATATTTTTGCGCAACTTTTTCTTGGTCCTTGTTCCCTTAGAGGTTTGCTGCTGCCAGAGGCACTTTTTGCTCAGGTGGGGTCAGCTAGACATGAGAAGAAACCCAGTTTTCATTACATCACTGCTCTTCATACAGGCACACTGTGTCTTATTGCACATTGATTTATGGCCCTTTGCAGACATTGCATATTTTACAAATTGAAGGTAGAATTCTCTACCAGCAAAATGATTATGACTTGCTGAAGACTCAGATGATGGTTAGCATTTCTTCAGCAATACATTTTTTTTAAATGAAGGTGTATACATTGTTTTTTAGACATAATGCTGTTATACACTTCATAGACTGCAGTATAGTATAAACATAACTTTGATATGCACTGAGATACTAAAAATATTGTATGACTCCTTTTATTGGATATTCACTTTATTGCTGTGGTCTGGAGCTAAACATACAGTCTCTCCAAGGTATGCCTGTACTCGGGCTTCTAGCACCATTCTGGAAAAATGAACACTAACTTGTTTACTACTAATTCAATGAAATGGTTGCAGGTGGTGGAATCTGTGGGAGCTGATGAAAGTACACAGTGGGAGGACATCAGGTGGGAAGGAAATAGGGCCAAACATGGAAATTTGGGGAGCATGCAGATTTAAGTGGGGGGCGGGAGAGGCAGAGGAGTGAGAGGAAAGCAGTAGAGGCAGAGGAAGAGGACCAGACTAGAGCAGTGCCATGCAAATCAGTAGAGGAAAGAGGAAGGGATGATAAAGAGTCAAATAGCATAAGCATTGGATATACGATGAAGACTGAAAGGACCCTTGTGTTTGTCAGTTAGAAGAGCATTTATGAGACTCTTTGTTAGGGCACACAGAGTGTTAAAGGCTGGGGGTTGGCTGTAAGGACAAAACTGAACTGTTGAAATGACTGAAAGGAGCGAGGAAGCATCCTTCTAATTAGAATATGTGTCTGACATATAAAAGAATATCTATACAGTGATAATAAGAATGGCTTAAGCAATACAAACATTCAGTTATTCTACATAAGAAGAAGTCTGGTGGTAGGTAGTCCAGGCTACTGCAGGGGTTCAGCTTTGTTAGCAAGCCTATGCTCTTTCAGTCTTTCAACTCAGTCTTTCTTTATATGTTGGCTTATTGCCTCATGGTCACCAGATGGGGCCTGCCTCTCTAAGCATCAAATTCTTTTTTAAGGCAGGAAAGAGCATGAAGAGGTGGCCCAAATCTTACCTGCAACTAAGTTTTTCCTTTACCAGAAGACCCCAGCAGACATTTGCTTGAGTCCCATCAGCCAGAGTTGGGGCACATAGCTATCCTCGGCTGCTAGGGAGTCTGGGAAAGTATTTAACATTTTCAGGATGCATAATAAAAGCAGGCATGGGAAAGGGACTATGAATGGATATGGAATAGCCAACCAAGAACATCTAAACTAGGATATTACACCAGCAGTTTGCCACATCATGCTATGCTCCCCTCAGCCATTCACTTCCTACCTTTTTAGATGTACAGGGATGTATCATGGGTCCATTTCCACTTTGCTCAACTCTAAGAGTGCTCTGTAGCCTTGCTACTTAAAGTGTCCTGTAGACCAGCAGTTTCAGAAGCACCTGAGAACTTGATAGAAACGCAGAATCTCAGGCCTGCTGAAGCTGAATCTGCATTTTGCCAAGAAATACTATAGAAGTGCTCTATGAGACATGTCTGCTGGCTTGCTTGCTCTACGTTACTATAAATCCAGATTAATTGTATCTGGAGAATTTCTGAGTGCTTCCTCAGATGTAGCCCACTGGGAGGCTATTGGTCTCAGAGTTAAGAGGCTGGGATTCTGGCCCCTGTACTGGCTTGATACATTGTCTTACCCTGGGTAAGTCCTATTAGCACTTTACATCTAAGTTTTCTCATCTGAGCACTGAGATATAATTTATATGTATTTGGAGTTCCCTTCCAACTCAAATTCTAATTGAAGGCAAGTGTTTGTAGTTCAAAAGATTTGCATATTCTGCCTGTACGACCTTATTAGATATGATTCCAGTGTCATTTTCTGGAAGCTATTCCTTCATTTTAGAGCTAGTTATTAAGTTGTCCCTTAGCCCTACTTTTCTTATCTCTAAAACCTTTTGGTTATTAAATAGGAACATCAGTCATGCTGGAGATTTTCAGTTAAGAGCAAATGTATTTGTATAAGGGAAATGAGAATTCTAACATGTTATTGCCCCAGGCTGCTTTTTCATGCTGCATAATTTTTATATATCAATACTGTATAAGAACTATTGTGTATTGATCATGATATTATAACTCCCTTTCGGTATATGGGAAAGTAACTCTGAAATGCTTGGAAACTAGTATTTAACATTTATAAGATTTCAAATGAATAGGAGAAAAAAAGGGATTTAGGAAACAGGGACAGAAATGGCATTTAATAAACTGAATTGAATATTATTATAATTGTTTCTAATAGCATAATCAATTAGGATTACTTGGTGAGGAGGTGTCATAAAAATTACTCTGGATCTTTAAGTACTGAAATGTCAAATTTTATATTGTCACTTGGCAGCTGGGTTAAGATAGATTTTCTATTCGTTCAGAACTTCCCAATTTTTTCTAGAGTGACACGTGTATAACTCTTCAGAACAAAATTAATGAAGTTGAAATGCCTACAGGGCTACAACAGGCATGGTACATTTGTTTTCTAATAGGGTTACATGTTCATGTCCTCTTCAAAGACTGAGTAATGAGATTGAAATCAAAATCCAAAAGACTGAGGTATGACATGGCAGAATGTGGTATTATATAATACTAGTATCTTCAGACTGAATCTGGGGCACCTCCTTTAGAATGTTTCAACTTTATAAAGAAACATTCTGTTAGTGTTTCATATTTTTTTACTGCTTCATTTAGAGTTATTTACTGTAAGGATAGTATCAATGTTTTAAAGCCATCATGTTTCAAAGTTCTCTTGCAGTCTTTGTTGAAGCCTAGAAATTTATTGGAGCACTGATGCCAGTTTCCTTCTTCATCTCTTAAAATAGATGTTGGAGACTAGAGAGAGTTTGGAGGAAAGCACCAATAGTTAGTAAAGGGGACGTACGAGTTATATGAGGGACAGAATAAAAGGTCAAAGGAACACTTCATTTCTAGTTAATGCAACGGTTCTCAATCTGTGTGTCGCGACCCCTTTGGCGGTCTAATGACCCTTTCACAGGGGTCTCCTAAGACCATCCTGCATATCAGATATTTACATGACGATTCATCACAGTAGCAACATTACAGTTATGAAGTAGCAACGAAAATAATTTTATGGTTGGGTCACAACATGAGGAACTGTATTTAAAGGGCCAGAAGGTTGAGAACCACTGAGTTAATGGAAACCGCGATTAACTCCCCATTGAAGTAAGTAAAATGCTGAATAAAATATATATGCTGCTCTGTCGAGGAAGTTAGAAATTTGCAGGTCTCCTAGACGTTGAACAGATATCTCAAATTTAACATATCTAAATTGAACTTTTGATCGTCTTCATCACCATCGCTATTCCAGCAGCCTTCCTCATATCAGAGGATGACAACTTTTTAAAAAATGTGGATTCATGCTCAACATTCATTCTGTCAGGAAATTCTTTTAGCTCTGCCTTCAGAATAGATCCAGAATATACCCAGAATTCATCTCTAGGGCAAATTACTACAATAGCCTTCTAACTGATTTCCTGCTTTCACAATTGCTTCTTATAATCAAGTCCTATTGCAGCATCTAGAATGAGCCTGCCTAATCTAAATCAGACCTTGGTACTTTTCTGGTGAAGACCTTTCAATGGCTCTCCTCACTCAGAGTAAAAGCCAGTGTCCTTACAATGCCCTGCTGAGTGAAATAAGCCAATGAGAGAAAGACAAATACCATATGATTTTGCTTACATTTGGAAGCTAATGAACAAAATAAACTAACAAAATAGATGCAGACTTATAGATAGATAACAGATTATAGCTTATAGCTGTCAGAGGGGCGGGGGGCGGGGGTGGAAGGTTGCGTGGCTGGTTGAAATATGTGTAGGGATTAAGCAAAATAAAATAAATTATAAATGCCCTATAGAAGAGATTTTAAGCATACATTTCTAAATAATAAAGTAAGCAAACAAAAAAGGCTAAACACAATGTTATTCTAATGGATATGTATAGAATATGCATAAAGCTTATAGACTGTATGTTGTGTAAAAATGGGAAAATCTTTGAAAATTGACCATGTGATATGTCATAAAGTGAGCCACAGGATTGTTATCATATAAACCACATTCTTTGACCACAGTACAGTTATGACAGAAGCATAACTAAAAACCGTTTCGTCTATGGAAATTAAAATACAATAGGACTTTTAGAAACGGATTTAGAGAGAAAGTGTACTAGAAATTTGAAAATACTTAGAACTGCACAATAATGGAAATAATAGAATAAAGTTATGGATATAACTAAAACAATACTTAGAGGAAAATTTATAGCCTAAAAAGAAATGGGAAAAAAGCTCAGTATGAATAAACTAAGCATGCAAGTTGTTAGAAAATTAAGAGTCTAATAAATCCTAAAGAGGGAAAAAATAGCATAAATAAATGATAAGAAAATAAATACCTATTAAAGAGGATCAGTGAAACAAAGGTTGATTCTTTGAAGAGATTTATGGAAAAAAGATAACTCATAATATTTTTAAAGAAAAAAGAGACATCAAAAAATAATGAAAGGGATAAAAATGAAGATATAACTACTGATGTAATAAAGAATAAATAAATGAAAAGAAGATGTCATGAACTTTAAACCAATAGTTTTGAAGCATACACAAAATGCATGTATCACAAGAAAAATATAATTTATTAAAATTAACACTGAGTTAAGAAGACATAGAAAGTATGAGTAGTGCTTTTGCCTCAAATTGAATTTTTAGTTTATTTTTCCACAATGAAAACACTAACCCTAGATAGCTCTATAGGTGTGTCCTACCTAATGTTCAAAGAGATCATTTAATTAATTTTGTATATTAATTAATTTTGTATATTAAAATAGACAAGGGCTTTAGAAGAAAGGAGAATCATGAGAGGATCTCAATCTCATTTATGACCATAAACAAAAAGCTTGAACAAAAAGTTAGCAAAGCATTTCCTGCAATAATAAGATAATATGAGATTGGGTTACTTTAGGAAGTCAAGGTTGAATAATACTTGACAATATTATGGAAATAACAGAGTAGGTAAATTGTCCCAACCCTTCTACATCCAGAAGGAAAAGACTGACCTACTTATCCCCCTACCAGTATGGTGGGGAGGGAGGAGTTTGCTGACCACTGAAGAAGCAAGTGAGAGGCTGAGTAGTACTTTCAAAAGTCTTACAAAGCTAGGGCAACTGAAGGTCAAGTCCAGAGTTCAGAAAAGTGTTTGTGTGTGGAGGGAAGTGTTGGCAAACTCCTTGTGCTTTGGGCTGGACTGTGTCCTAGGACTAAGGGCAAATTGCAAAAGTATTAGCCCATGTGTGCATTTCAGCCCAGCTTTAAATCCTTCAGGACAGAAAATGCAATAAAGTTACCTGGTATTGTTAGCAAACCTAGGTGTTGGGCAGAAGCAGACATGAATTGTTTCTAAGAAAGATATCATCTCCTAGGATTAAAAGTATTTCCATGTTTTTCAAATTCAATGACTGGCATGCAATAAAATATAATTAGGCAAGCAAGGAGAAGAGGCAACATGAATAAGAACTGGTATAAACAACAAAGTAGTAAGACACATATGAAGTTATTACAAAGACATGAAGGACTTATAACTCACCAATATTTAATTTACTGATTAAATCATTGGGGAATGTGTTAATAAAAAAGAAGCTGGGAAAATGGAGAACTGCATTTAAGAGGAGTAAAGTAAAATTCAGTTTAAGAAAGAACCCTTGCCTACTTATAAACTAATTTGTTAGGTATATGAATCTTTTTAATACCTTTTTGTACTCTTTTTCCTATGATGCATTCTTCCCTGCAAGTGTTTTAAAATCAGCTAAAGAGCTCATCAGCGTAGGCTGATTTAAGATTTCATCTTTGGAAATCAGAGAACTAGGCCTAATAAATCCTTGGGTGACTCCTCCAGCAACATACCCCAAAGAAAAGCATATAAAATAACCTGAACACTTTAAAAAGATTCCAGATTGGCAGGATATATTACAGTGTTCTTTGTTCTTTATGTATGTCATTGTTGAATTGGCCTCACCAATAACTATGCAAATGGGGTTGATTGGTGATAAATATCATACAGGATTTATGAGTGGAAGAGAAAGGACTGCTATTTTTGAGTTGCAATTTATCAGAGAGATGTAAGGCACATTTAAGTTATAAAAAATAAATGCTTTATTATCTTAAGACAAACTTTTTTTTCAAGTTTTAACTAAAGTCTTCTGAACACTTTTTTCTCTTTGCAGAATAAACATGTTGATTACGTAGATGTTGGCGGGGCTTATGTGGGACCCACCCAGAACAGGATCCTAAGGTTGTCTAAGGAGCTGGGCTTAAAAACTTACAAAGTGAACGTAAACGAACGTGTTGTACAATATGTCAAGGTAAGCCTGATATTTTACTCAAGGGACCAATGGGGGAGTATTGTATTTGGGAAGATGTTTGGTTTGGTTTTTGATTTTTTTTCTAAAAGCCTTCATAAAAATAGGTCCTTGGCTTTCAGGTAGTATTCTGCCTTTCTTTTCTTTTTTCTTTACCTTAAAAAAATGTCTGTGAACTCCTGGAGTTACTGCAAGAGGTCCTGTTTCAGCTTGGCTCTCTTCCACGTCACCCAATGTGGCCCGGGAAGGCTTCACCCCCACCCCAGTCCAACCAGAGTAGGGTGGGAGGCTCTCAGTTTCCTTTCCTCCCCTCTCTGGAGTATGGGGGTGCCTGTGATAGACACACACACACACAGCCCCGTGAAGCCCTTGAGGCACCTATGATGCAATTCTAAGGCCCCAAGAAACACAATAGTTTGGGGTCACTTTTTTAAAATATGTTTTTAATAGTTTTTTAGAGAGAGGGGAAGGGAGAGGGAGAGAGAAAAACATTGATGAGAGAGAAACATCAATCGGCTGCCTCCTGCATGCCCCTATTGGGGCATGTGCCCTAACTGGGAATTGAACCAGTGACCTCTTGGTGCATGGGATGATGCTCAATCCACCGAGCCACATTGGCCTGGCAAAGGCCACTTTTTAAGAATTTGACTAGGTTATTCATTCTTCTTCTTTTTTAAAATATATTTTGTATTGATTTCAGAGAGGAAGGGAAAGGAGAGAGAGATAAAAACATCAATGATGAGAGAGAATCATTGATTGGCTGCCTCCTGCAGGATCTGGGGGCATCGAGGCTGCAACCCAGGCATGTGCCCTTGACCGGAATTGAACCTGGGACCCTTTGGTCCACAGGCCAACGCTCTATCCACTGCGCCAAACCAGCTAGGCTGGGGCTTTATTTTCTTCTTATCTGGCATTTCTTTACCCACCTTGATAATTTCCTCTGTACCTAGGCTTGACTCTGGCAAAGTCTAGCTTGGCTGTGCAGTTCCCTGCTGTTTAAACACATGATTGTTTAAACTCTAAATGCTGATATCCACTCAAGAAGCAGCAGCTGTCGCCAGTGTTTTTCTGTCTTAGTGAAGCCAAACAGAGCAGCTGGAGTCTGGAACTGTGTCTTGAGAAGGCAGGTTTCCAATCTGACATTGCAGCCCACATCCTGGAACTAGCATCACTAGGGCAGGGGTTTCTTACTCATTCTAAAATCAGGATTCCCATGCCAGTATCCACATCACTGCTCAATATACACAGCTGTCCCCCCACTAAACTCCAGACAATTAGGTGAGTCTGTCTCCAGGCCTTTTGGAGCTAGGAGTTAGGGATGCTTGTGATGTATGCACACCAATGCCCGATCAGGTGGGTCGGGAATCTTGGGAAACTGATAGCCACGTGGTTTGGGATGCTTGGGAGAGTCTTGGCAGTGACATAGAGAAAAACAAACCGGTAGCTTTTAGAAAAACTGTGGGCTCAGAGGCCAACAAAGGAATAAAAAAAGGATAAAAAGTGTTTAGGAATACTGGCTTCAATAGGCCACAATCAAGAAGGAAAAAACCCTGTTGCTTTCCACTTCCTCTTTTCTGCAGGGCATGGCTTTTCTCTGGACTGGTAAGTAATAACAATGGTAAGAATAATAGCAGCTAACATATTGAGTACTTTTATGTGTATTAGTACATTTAACATAGAAAGAGAGACCAAATCCTTTGCACTTAACTACTAGTTAAGTAGTCATGTACATTTACTCTCCAGTCCAATTGGGAAGCAAATGAAGCTAATGGTTATCCTAGAACAGTGGTTCTCAACCTTCTGGCCCTTTAAATACAGTTCCTCATGTTTTGACCCAACCATAAAATTATTTTCGTTGCTACTTCATCACTGTCATGTTGCTACTGTGATGAATCGTCATGTAAATATCTGATATGCAGGATGGTCTTAGGCGACCCCTGTGAAAGGGTTGTTCGACCGCCATAGGGGTCGCGACCCACCGGTTGAGAACCGCTGTCCTAGAACCTGAGCAGCAGATTCATGCTCATAATCTCTTCCTCTGTAACTTTCAGGTGCTGAGAGATTTTTTTTTTTTCTGGGAGCCTCACAATAAACACAAGTGTTTTTTATACATCAACTCCTTAAACACTTGCATCCACCCTGTTGGGCAGACATGGTTATCTACTTTTTACACAGGAGAAAACAGAGGCTCAGACAGGTAAAGTGACTTGACAGGCTATATAACTAGTAACAGTCTGCCTACCGCCTGACTGCACGCTCTTTGTGATTCCAATATGTGGCTTAGGAAATGACACTGAGGGTCCTGAATGAAGTGTACTGGCCTTCCAATATTTTTGGGCTGAACACAAGTCCATTGGAAGGTATCTCACCATCTGGTTCCCTGAAGCAGTCTACTCTGGACCAGATATCGTTCCAGGCTGGAACCACAGTGGCGGGCACATGATCTAAGTTGCTGCTCACATGGAGCTGGCCATCTAAAAGTCAATAAAAACATATCCCCAGGTGAGGGTTAAAAAGATTATACCCAACATTTCTGCCTTTGTCCTTCATGAATCTTGTGAAGAGAACCCATATTCTAATTTTGGTTTAGTAGTTCCTTAATATATCTATATCTATAGCTATATCTATATCTATATCTATATCTGTATCTGTATCTATATCTAATCTATATCTATATCTATATCTATCTATATCTATCTACACACACACACACACACACACACACACACTAATTAACCGGGACGCCGTAACACACACACACACACACACACACACACACTAATTAACCGGGATGCCGTAATGTAACGGGTTGACCAGACAGGAGGAGGTTGCGCATGCAGCGTTGGGGGTGGGGCGGCAGGGGCCTCTGTGCGCCCCCTCTGGGGGGGGGCCTGATCAGCAGCGGCCATGGCCACGGCTGCTTCAAGGGCTGGAGAAGGAGGCAGGGCTGGACCGGCAGCGGCTGCTGCTGCTGCAGGGCCCAGAGAGCGAGGCAGGGCCGGACTAGAGGGTGGGTGGCGCCGCACGGTTTTGAATCGTGTGCTGGGCTCCTAGTTATTATATAAAAGGTTCTTGACTGGTATTGACAGTGAACAGGTTTTATGAATATTATGAATTGGATATGGCTTTATTTGGGAGATTAGCTCTGATTTGTGAAATTAATATAAATTAATCATGTATGTTTAACCTAAAATGTGGATTTGAAGTGGCATTAGCTAGGTAGGTTTAAAATGTCCTCTGTAATGATTCTTTTTCTTTGAATGTTGTAAGGGGAGCAGATGGACTTGAATACCTCTTGGATTGATTCATTCATTATTTGTATTAGTAAATAAAATGCACATTATTATGATTGTTTTACGGGTGAGTTTCATTGGGTTGTGAAACCTTTCTGTTAAATTTTCACTGCCAGGTCTTGGGGAGAAAGGAGGAAATGCTTGATTTTTTTCCCCATCAGTTCCTTCAGATCATTATAGTGCAGGTAGGGGGTGGAGATGGAGAACACTACCAGAGGAGGAGCAACACGTTTTTCAGGAGCTGCTTTGAAGGATAAATTGGCATATTCATGTATTCTGACTTTCTCTCTGCTTTTCACATCCTCTCGAAGTAAAATTAGAGACTATAAATGTATACCACACAGTCTTTTTTAGAGAATGGTGTGATAAAGATTCATTTGAAACAACGTATGCTTTCCTGATAGTAACAGCTCAGCAAGCATTTTTTCCTTGCACTTAATCTGTTCTTCCCATAGCTATTTACTCCAGGTTTCTATGCCAACAACTGTAATCAAAGGCTTTTCAGAATGTGGAATGCTAAGTAATTTCTTGTTGTTATTGCTAAGAGGTGAACTTTGGTTTAGTCAGTAGGCTGTGTTGAAAGCAGAAGATGTATTTTTGTTGTTTGTTTTAATGTTTGCCACGTATGTGTTGGACCCCTTGCTTACAATAGTGTTTCTTTTGGATTAGGGACATTTAGCTATTTATCTATTTATTAATTATTATTTTTAATCCTCACCTGAGAAGAGAGAGAGAGAGAGAGAGAGAGAGAGAGAGAGAAATGTGAGAGAGAGAAACATCCATTGGTTGCCTCCCATACACATCCTGACCAGGATCAAACCTGCAACCTAGGTATGAGCCCTGACCAGGAATCAAATCCACAACCTTTTGGTGTATGGGACAACACTCTACCCAACTGAGCCACATGACCAGGGCTAGGGACATTTATTTTAAAGCTGCTTTTAACACCTTTCCATACCAGTTCACAGAATGTGTTTGTTTTGTCTTTAAAGAAAGTTATACTTTTACTTTCAATCCCTCTCAGTAGGGAACACAAGAATTTAAAGGTGTTTAGGTACTTGTAGAGATGCTACTTATCATGTCGTTGTCTCCTTTTTATTCATCACCTAAATTCACCCCTTCTGAGTTACCTCATTTGAGCTTCCCAAGTAATAAACATTATCCCCCCCCCCCATATTAAAGATGAGAAAACAGAGGCTCAGAGAATTTAGGAGCCAAAATGAGGCTTTCCAGCTCTTAAGCTCAGGGTTCTGTGGGCTACACCACTTTCCCCCTTATTCAGTGGGCAGAAAGTCAACTTGTGAACTCCTCTAATGAACTGTTCTAAGACATGACAAAAATGACCTGCCATTTTGGCAGCAGGGGCTCCTGAGGCATGAGATGTGTGCCTGGGAGCCTTATGTGGTGCCATTCACCAGAGAGGCTTCTTCACTTTTCTTGAGAAGTTCCTGAGTCCCAGAACTTGCGGAGAAAGGAGGAAATGCTTGATCTGGAGCCCCACTGGCCTTCAGTGAGCAGTTATACTTCGCAGGCTGAAGACTACCAGATGGATTGTATTATTGTGTTAAAATACTAAGTCCAGATGTCTAGAGCCTGGTTTGGAATTATTGGTTATACTTTTTGATAAATGATTTATGTAAACTTATTAGTAAAAATATCCACACTAATAAAAGACAAACATGCAAATTGACCATACCTTCGTCACGCCTT